ACATGAAGATTTTCTCTTATATATAATATATATTATGTTTAATACAATGAATGTACATCGTGTCTTTTGTAGGGTTGGAGTTAATGTAGATAGTCTTACCGCTGAAGGTGTCAAGCAAGAGGAATATATCCCTGTTCTTATCGCACCAATGAAAGAGGAAGAATCGTTACTAGATATCATTTTTGAGAGCAACCCATTAGATAAGAAATGCGGACAAAGACTCATAATTGAATTAAAACCCCTTAGGATTATTTATGATGCGAAAACCCTTATTGGGGTAATAAACGTCTTCGTCATGTCTCAGTCGTCCTCCTTAGAAAAGTAGGTAGAATTTGATTAAAAGATAGACAATAAAAATGTCAAAATATATATGTAAAAGATTTATATGCAATTACAACATTTTTCTATTTTTTTTTTATTTTAATTTGCTGTTAATATTTTTTGCAGCCCGAATACTTATAAGATTTTTGCTTTTATAAACTCTTTATGTGAAGCTGTACGTATACTATTATAATGTAGATATACAGAAGAAAGTCTGCTGACCATTGTGTATTAAGCATTTACGTCGTTTATTTGTTAATGTCAATTTTTTTTTTGTTTCAGACTTTCTTCTGTAGCCGCAACGAAACTGAGTAACATCAAAAAAATGTCTGCATCCGGTCTTCAGCACATTATAGAATCCCACGCGTACTTCGATGTTAACATCAACATTTCCGCTCCCATTATTGTTGTTCCTCAAAACGGACTGTACACGGGAAATGAAAATGTTTTAGCAATAAATTTAGGTCAGTTATATATTATTTTACAAAAGCATTTAATAACTAAAATAAAAAACTTACTATTTTAGGTAAAGCGAGCATACAGTCAGTTGAACGTTCGGCGTCTTTTATTCGTATAAAAGAGTTATATCAAGCGGGCATTACTGGTGAGGACATTCTTAAAGACATGATCGAAAAGAGTTACGACCGCTTCCTGATGTGCCTGACAGAGGTACAAGTGGTGTTAGCTGGGCCTACTGACAACTGGATGTCAAGTTTTATCGAAAAAGGAAACACACCCCTTCACTTGCTACAACCACTGTCACTGGAAGCCCTTTACTCGAAATGTCTGATACAGGACGATCCTCAACTCCCTCTTAGTACTATCAAGGGCGAATTACCTTCACTAGCAATCACTATTACAGACACTCGACTGATAAAATTGATAAGCTTAATCGATAGTGTTGCTGTTGAAACCAGTTTATCAGAAAACAAACCTTTAGAGGTGACCAATACTTAAATGTGACGCATCTGCACAAATAAAATTTTGCTTATATTTACAGCGTAAAGCTTCATCTACATCCCTTTTACAATATATGGAAATGACCAAAATGGCAAAACCCAAAACAGAAAATCAAATAAAATCTTCATACGAATCGACTGATTTAAACCAATTTACAGAGTTTGATATTCAATTTGTGATGAAGGGTACGCATATGTTACAGCTATATTTGTTTTATTTGAACTTGACATCTTTTCAGAATTGACACTAACTATGGGAGTTCAGCATGGTCAAAGCGACCCGAAGAATGTGGCAAAATTTAGCATACGAAACCTCGAGTTCGGTCACACCATGCAAACATTCAATACGGAAACATGGCTAAAAATTGGTAGCATGAATCTAATTCAGTATATTCATCGCATTCAACATTTGAATATTTTGAGTACTCCTCTGAAGGACGAATCGGATTATATGTTCACTTTAAAATTTGTACAGGTAAAAAAATGCACAAACATTAACAATAATCAATATTCATGACATTTGTATGTCATTTTATTAATTTAGGTGGACAAATCATCGCCCGAATTTCATACAAAGCACCAATCTTGCGAGACACGCCTGCTATCAAACTTCAATTCGCTCGAAATTCATTTGAATCAGGAGGCATTACTCGATTTAATGCGTTATATTTCGAACGTTCAATTACAGATTGAAGAAGAACGAGCAGATAAAAACAGAATCGCGATGTCGACGATCGACGAGGAGCCACAGCGACGTTTAATAGAAACAATCGCGGAATCGACTGAGAATATAGTTACTCGTACATCAATACAATATTTAAGAGATGGTAAGTTTTTCTATTTCAAGTTCCTTCCTATAATTTCTCTTGTTTTACCCTACTTTTTTTCTCTTTTTAATTGTATTTCTATTTAAGCAGCTTATGCTCAACTGTACATCTATATATACATAAAATTTTAGTTAAAAAACGTCAGAAGAAGTCAGTAATTGAGACGATTAAGTTTAAGCTATTAGCTAATTTACATCAAGTCAAGATATGTCTAAGTAGTCACCAAAATGATATAGCCTCTCTCTCTGTTAGCGGTGTAAATGCGGAAATAATTATAAAGGAACCATATACACAAATTAAAGCTCACCTATTGGATTTGTCCGTCATAAATCTTAATTCTGAGGCAATACATTCGAAGGTAATGTTTATTATATTAATTTATTATTTATCTAAAAAATGCTATAATTTTTGTCAGATTCTTTCTGTGACCAGCGAAGAGGCTGTCAGCGTTCAAATTGTTACTTATAATCTCGACGAAGACGATTACACATCGACAAATATGTCAATTGATGCATCTATAGGTTGTCTGCGTATAGTTTTTCTCAACATATTTGTCACCGAAATACTGGTAAGAGTTAATATATTGTTGCTAAGATTTTTGATTTCATTGTTTATAATTTTCAGTCATTTCTCAACAATTTCCAAACAGCTATGGACGTACTCGCGCAGGCATCTCAGAATGCCGCAGCTCAAGCAAAATTGAATGTCGAAGAGGCACTTTCAAAGGCTATGAAAATAGCAGTAACTGTTAATATAAGGGCACCGAACATCGTCGTTCCAGTGCATTCGCAGAGTGTTGACGCCCTCTTTCTCGATTTTGGTCGATTCACGTTATCAAATAAATTTAAATGGCTCGAACAGGTAGACGAGAAAAAACAGAACGCGGTCCTCGACGATATGATGATTAGCTTAGTTGACATGAAGATTGCAAAGATAACATACAAGAACGAGCAAACCGTTATCGAGCATATCCTATTGGATCAACTTTCGTTTCAGTTGAAGGTGGTAAGGAATCTTTCGAGTTGGTATCGGCAGGTGCCCAGCATCGAAATATCAATGAAAACGAAAACTATTTCAGTAAGTATAATTTTATTTTTTATCATATGTAAAAAACGATTCTTTTAAAAAAATTGCCACTATTTGAAATTTTTTAGGAATAGTAAACAGTTTTCTTTTAATTATTTTGAACATTATACAATATTAATTAACCAAATATAATTTTTAATACGATGTTAGATGCTCCTAGCGCACGAAGACTACGTCATGGTTTTGAATATTTTGGACAAAAACATTGGCGAAGGAAGCACTCAACATGTTTCCTCTTCGCACAAGACACCAACTGTAAAAAAATCAGTGAAGGTCACTGCGGAAACATTGCAAAAAGACCATGAAACTGCAGTACCAGAGGTCCCTACTACAGAAATATATACTCTAGTAAAATTTACTTTTGTCATGGAACGATTCGTGTTTAGCTTATTCTCAAGGTCACCTGCTTTTCAAGTAAGTTCTATTTTTGTCTATTTATCAAAAATGAGTGTATTTTACATTCTACTGCTTATCTTTACCGTTTCTTACTCTTTCTCTTCTTTCTTGATAATTAGAAAATACCTCTCCACGATCCATCACTTTCTTTGGCAAAATTTTCTTTGGAGATGATCTCAGTCAAAGGTCGAATTTACTCGGATGATTCGATGGGTGTTGCAATGCTCCTTGTTAATTGCATAATTGAGGATAGCCGACCAGAAAACGCAGGACTACTGACCCGTTTATGCGAACGAAAACCAGAACCTGAAGACGTTGCTGAAAAAGAATTGTCTGTGGTAGAATCAAATGTGCCCCAGAAATACATGGTTGATATCGTTTATCAGCGAAAAGGCAAAGATAATTTCGGTAAGAGGACTTAATCAATAAGCAATTAATTAATTTACTAATTGTAAATTGCTTAAAATAATAAATAGCGGATATACGTATATGGAGCTTTGGACTTATATTTAGTGCAAATTTTATGATGGAAATTTACGAGTTCTTAAAAAAAAGCGACGACGACGAAAGAGAAAACGAAACAAATAAACATGACTCTATCAGCCGGACGACCTTGGTATCCGCGAAATCTACCATGGGTACACAAGCTGTTCCGACTGCCGACGAGAGTCTTTTCACTCTTAATTTACGAATCGAAAAACCAGATATTATCCTTGTCGAACATCTAAAAGACATGGACACAAATGCCTTGATATTAAACGTACGTTACTGGGAGTATAAATACAATCTCGTATTAATTTTATTAGATTAATTGATTTATATTGTACATTCTTGTAGTTCGAAATGTTATGTAAACTTCGCACCACAACCAATCATCAAGTAATCAATTGTTCTGTAAACGATCTCCAAATGTACACATGTGCCTTCGATCCGTCGAAAAGAGACGACACGAAAGCCAATGTGATTTTCCCTATTAATATTAACGTGGCAGGATCGACACCTGAAGGAGAAGGCCTTCATGTTGAGGTAATTTAACCTTAGAACTTAAAAAATTGATTTACAATATGCATATTTCTTTATCTGGAAAAGGTCCATACGTCAGACGTAAGGATTCGAGTATCGCCGATAACTATAGATCTTTTAAACAGAGTACACAAGACCTTACTAAGTCACGCCAGTGCCAAGAAAGAAGCTGAAGATGTCGTGGATGATTACAGCGATTTGTGGCAACCGAAACCTTACAAGGAAGACAATTTATGGTTCTTGAAAGTTGGCAAGTTTTGTCTAAAAAGGTAAAAATGTCCAACGTCTGTTAAAATATAGTATTTCTATTTCTCAGAAATCGGCGACGACGTCACCACATTTTTAGATATGACTCAACTGCAACCACAATACAACGAAAAGAAGGTGAAAAAAAAAGAACTTTGTCTTTTCATGATTCAATCCATAGTATTTACAATGGAAGCTGGTGTAGGTAAGAAGACTCTTCCGATGCTTTTCTTTGACAGTAAATTCAGCGGAAACGTAAAAAATTGGAGTTCGGATGTAAGAAATATCTCCTTTATTCTACTCATTATTTTAAATACGATATAATTGTTCGATGCAGATGTCCATAGAGGCATCGATGACACTGACGATGGGCTATTATAACAGTCGGCTCGCTTTATGGGAGCCTCTTGTTGAACCAGTACAAATTATGAAAGCCAATAACGTCACTTATGAGCCGTGGGAATTAAAAGTGGAGGTACCGTATCATATTGTTCTTATCTAATTTAAAAATTTTTATCTAACAAAAGGGAGCACCCCTTTTCAGGTTCATCTGAATCCAGAACAGGCAATCGACGAATCATTGACGAGTCCCTCTTCGGAGATAGAAGAATTAACGTTACCGCCGCCTCCGATGGTCATTGACGTGACATCTGCATCAAATCTGGAAATAACAGTGACGAAAACATTCCTTGACGTACTGAAAAATCTTTCGGCCGCGTTCGATTCGGACATAACGGGTAATGAAGAAAAAAAAGTTATACATCCGACTAGTTCGTTCAAAGTAATTAACGACACCGGCCTGAAGGTCGTATTAGTGCTCGTCCACAGTTCCTTCCGGTTGCACGGTGACCAAAATCCCAACCACGTAACTCTTGAGCCAGGCACTCAGGTGCCTCTTGAGCTGAAGTCGTTCATGCAAGAGGTGTCAAAAATTCAGTATCAGCTCTCCTTGGACAGCCAAAAATCACCAGAAAACTTCCTCTTCGTCAAGGTATGATGCCGTGGTCTAAATTGTTTATTTCATTCTTTCTCTATAAATTCTATTTATGCGGAATTAATTAAAAATTGGAAATTTCAAATGTAAATTTTGTTCATATCTTTCATAATTGCTACACATACAGACAGTATAATTTCATTTTTTATTTGCTTTCAATTGTACACTTTTAGTACGTAGATTGGTATTTATATATTCTCTTTTTTGTATATCAATTTGATTTAATACCCTTTCAAACATTGTTATTAAATGTTAATATGGTCATTTATCATTTGTATATAGGTTGAAACTTTTGAAAAGGAACTAAAATTACCTTTTGAAAGAGCCGACAAAAGATACTTCCCACTCGATCCAAAAACGAACAAAGGCCTAATTTCGGAAGTTTCCATGGAACACGGGGTCCTTTCCTTAACATTAAGAAGCATACTAAAGGTCTGTATATATTATAAGTGGATTAATACATATACGTATTATACATATATATAAAGTAACATATAACATATTTTTATAATTTCTAAGTGGTAATTTTGTTTTTGTAGATTTTCAATCATTTCACTATTCCAGTAGATATCTATTATATGACAGAAAAAAGTAATAATTTGGCTTTCATTTTCAACATACAACCAGGACAGTCCCGAAATTTGCCATACAAGGCAGTGTATACTACTACGGGTCAGCTGTTTTTTTCGGTTAAAAGCTACTCTGTGACCTCGGTACCTTTTGTCTGGCGCGACTTGAATTCGAACGTGACTATCTCAAAGACATTAATGTGTCGACCTAAGGATCACCTGAACCACACCGAGCCATTTCTATTAAATGTAAGTAACTTAAGAAAGAAAGCATTTTCATTCTATTATTAATTATAATATTTTACTGATTTTAGGTAAGCGGGAAAATGAAACAAGTGTATAGCGAAACGTCGACGCGTTATACGATGGCGAGTGTTTGTTACAACGTTTATTTAAAACCTGTTGTCGTTTTTAAAAACTATCTGCCCTTTAACGTCGTTTGTATTATCGATAAATTGGTTGAAGAATACGTTATTGAGCCAGGGGCATACACCCAATTACCCAACGTGCAACCCGGAACGTCCAGTATTTGTGTTAAGGTAGTAGTTGTATTTAATCAACAAAGTACCAAATAAAAACTTTTTATTGCAGATTCCCGATTACCTAGAAAAGGAATGGACATGTAAAAATGAATTGTTACAAAATCCTTCAGAGTTTACTGTATGGCAGTTCTCCAGTTACGAAAATATTGTAAAGGTCAACTTGGACCTTGGAATGCACTGCAAACAGGATGGAAGCTCCATGATCATGTCCTTATACTGTCCGTTTTGGCTGAACAACAAAACCGGGTTGACTCTTGATTACAGAGTAAGTTAGCACAAAAAAAATATTTACTGCCTTTTTTAAAAAGCATGTTTTTGTCTTAATAGAATACATTTAAAAAAATAGTTTACAAAATGATTAACATTAACTTATTAACATTGCTAAACAAAGAAGGAGCTTTTATACGTAAATAAAGAACCATTGAATTTTCTGGTTCTTTTTCAGAAATCTAAAAAGGAGAAGTCGGAAAAAGGAAGTCCTTCCAAGGTATTATTTATCATAATAAATAATTGGATCTTTCTTTTTTTTTACCGTATTTTTGCTACCACAAAAAGTAGTTTGAGTTTTTGTTATTTCAAAATATTAATCGATCTTTTACATTATAAAGTGAATATGAAGTATTAAATTATACTCTTTTTAAAAGACGACAGAAGATAACATGAATGTAATAACACATCCCAGTAACTACGATGGACCAATACTGTTTTCCTTTAATGCGAAAAACTTTTTTGGGAAGAAAAAAGCTAGCATTCGAGTGGACAGTGGCGATTGGTCAGATAAGTTCCCTCTAGACGTCGCTGGATCCTCAGGTTACGTGGTTTGCAAAGGACAAAATCACATTTACATGGTAATCTATTAATTTTAATGTTAAGTATTGCTTAAATAGCAATAGTACATAATTTTTGTAGATCGGAGTTCGCAATACGCTTACATACAACGGTTTAACAAAACAAGTAACATTCACGCCTTATTATGTAATGGTTAATAACGCAAAGTATGACATAGAATGTCGAGAATTCGATAGACCTGCTGACCGATGGTTCACAGTTCCCGCAAAATCGTGCGTACCCTTCTGGCCGAGAAGCGAAAAGGACGATAAACTGCTAAAATTACGAGTGGTAAACACTGAAGAGACTACGCCACCCTTCCTTATCACTCAAACAAATAATATTTTACTTCAATTAGATAATAAGGTTGGTACTTATGTAGATATACTCATTTACCTTTATTTACTTTAACATATACCGAATAATTTAATAGTATGGAGGGATTCATGCTGATATTCAACTAACTGAAAGTTCGACATATATTAACTTAAGCCCATACGCCGAAGGCTTACCTCCTCCAATGATTCTGAATCATACCGACAAAACGATAAGTTACTGGGAAAAGGAAACTGTTCAAATCAGGTATCGTTTCTAAAAAAAGTATTATATAAAATAGAGTTTACCTTTGCTTGGTTGAAACTCGTAACGAGTATAAAATATAACACCAAATGTGAATTTCGACAAATTTTAGTGGCACTTAATTCTTTCGCCAAACATTAACTTCTTAAAAACTATTCCCAATGAATTTTTAAATAATTTCTTGTTTTTTTTTTTATTTGTATAGAAAACTAGATCCGGGACATTCAGTGTTATTTACGTGGTCGAATCCGCCCGGTTGTCGTGTCCTAGCTTGGGACATTGGTAACAAGAAAGAAATGCAAGACGAATTACAAACGGACGGACTGAAAGAATTCTCGCCGATGCCGAATTATACAGTATACTGGGTATCGTTTTTAAACGGTATGCAACGGGTAATTCTATTTACTCTTAACGAAGATGTAGCTGCAGACGTTCAATCGGCAAAGCAGTTTGAAGTCGCAGACACAGAAATCAACGTATCGATTCACGGTATCGGCCTGTCACTGGTTAACAATGTAGCACGCCAAGAATTGATGTATCTTGCAATTGCCAACAGTGGTATTATCTGGGAATATGCCAAACTCAAATCGAATCGGTAAATACAATTAATTAAATATATCGAACCCATATTTTTAAAAAAATTTGTCTATAGGTATATAGAAATGGCTGTGCGTGATTCCTACTTAATGGAACGCGCATACCAGCGTTATTTGTCAAAAGAAAAGTGTGACACGCCGGATTTTGGACGCGAATTGGTCGACGAAAAGACCGAAGTCGACTTTGACACGTTAAGGATGTTAAAACCGCAACAAAGGAAGATGAGACGAGTATTTCAATACGGATTGTGGATTCAGATGAAAACGAGCCCGTATCAGCTACAGTTCCACGCTAAAGTAAACAAAGTGCAGATAGACAACCAGCTCTTTGACTGTATATTTCCGATAGTCTTGGCACCGGTACCTCCCCCAAGAACCATGGGAGACAATTGTGAGGCTTTCAGTAATACTTTTATAATTTTCTGGTATCTAATAGTTTATTGTTTAATCAGTTCATAGGCCATTTATAGAAATGAGCGTGGTCCAAAGAGTGATGAAATACAGTCACATCACTCAGTTTAAATACTTCAAAGTTCTCATTCAAGAATTTCACGTGAAAGTCGATATAGGTTTCGTCATCGCCTTGTTAGATTTACTCGAAACGAACGTTGCAAATGAAGAGGAAGAAGTAAGAACAATAAAAGTTCATATTAGAAATTGATGTAATCATAACATGCTTTTTAGCGTAAGCATTTTTTGGAAAGTATAAAATTAACCAAAGAACCCCTCAAATCTCTAGTCGTTACCATTTCTCAAAAGGAACAAAAGAGTTTTTATGACGTACTGCATTTTTCTCCTCTCAAGATTCATGTAAGTTTTTCACTCCAATCGGGAAACTATAAAGGATTATCGCAGCTGGACGTCGTCAACGTTCTTTTGCAAGGACTAGGTGTCACTCTGACGGATATGCAGGATGTAATTTTCAAGTAAATACGATATATTATATTAATTAATTTACTGCTTTTTATCAATCGTTTATTTCGTTTTAGACTAGCGTATTTCGAAAGAAACTACACATTTTTATCTCAAAATCAACTTATATCCGAAGTTACTTCTCACTATTCGAATCAAGCCATAAAACAACTTTACGTACTCGTACTTGGACTAGATGTCCTGGGAAATCCGTACGGCCTAGTATTGGGTATTACGAAAGGTTTCGAGGACTTCTTTTACGAACCAATTCAAGTCAGTGTTTAAACGAAACAAATACACTAATTAGATACATAAGCATAATTTTTTTTACAGGGTGCAATCCAAGGACCTGGCGAATTCGCCGAAGGTCTGGTACTGGGTGCCCGCAGTTTATTTAGTCACACGGTAGGTGGTGCTGCAGGTGCCGTTTCGAGAATCACAGGAGCCATGGGTAAAGGTATTGCAGCGCTCACTTTTGACAAAGATTATCAGCGAAGAAGAAGAGACGCCATGACTAAAAAACCTGCCAGCGTACAAGAGGGACTCGCCAGAGGGGGAAAGGGGCTCGTTATGGGCGTGTATGACGGGGTGACCGGAGTATTTACGAAACCTATAAGCGGAGCGAAACACGACGGCGTCGAGGGTTTCTTTAAGGGTTTAGGAAAAGGTGCCATCGGTCTCATTACACGGCCCACTGCTGGAGTGATCGACTTTGCCAGTGGCTCTCTTGAAGCCGTCAGAAGGTTGTTAATATAGCAAAAACATTATCAATTTATTTTATTTTAATCCGCGTATGTTCATTTTTAGAGCGACAGATTTAGAGGAAGACATCTGCAGGATACGACCTTCAAGGTCATTGCCAGCTGACGGTTTTGTGCGGCCGTACAATATTCAGGAGGCCGAAGGAAATAAAATTCTGATGGAGTTGGAAAAGGGAAAGTACTCTACGACAGACGTCTACGTGGCTCATTTTACAATCGAAAAAAATCAAGTTTTGTTATTAACAGATAAAAGAATCGCTCTTGCTTCTCACAGTGAAGTATTTGGAGGATGGCAGGTAGGTCTAGATTTTCTTATTCCTTTGTATACGTCACTGATAAACCTGATTCGCCTAAAAATCCTGGTTTCGTTTCCCTATATATATTTCCTTTCTAGACGCACAGCTAACAAATGGTTGTTTAAATAGCGTCTTTCGCGATAAAATAAACTTGTTTTTAGGCGGAATGGGCATTTGCATGGTCCGACATACCGTCGTCTGCCACCGTGCATCCCAAGGGAGTACAGATTCCCATTCCTGAGGCGAAAAAGAAAAAGTTTGGCATGTTCGGTTCTAACGGAGCCAATAAGTTAATTAATGTGCAAAACGATGCTTTAAAAGAAAAGATCGTTAAACAAATCGAGTATATGCGGGAAAAGGCTTAATAGTAGAAGCAAAGCTCAGATATTATTTTCTTAATGCTGGCTTATAAATGCACAATTTTTTATATGTATGCTTTATAGAAAAGAACACTACTTACTCCTTTACATTTACCAGTTAAAATATTTCTTTTATTAAGCTTTTAATATATATTCTAAATACTTTATTTACACGTTATATACAAGTAAAAAATTTAAAATAATTAAAATTTTACCAGTGCTCAGTTTTAAAAATATTAAACTTTTGTGTTTTTTCAAACTCCAAGTTACAGGATTATTGTAAATGCACATTTTTTTTCGGTTCTACAACGCAGTGAATTTACTATTCATATATATGCTACTCCCTCGATTTAATCACACAAGTATAGGCAAGGACCTTTATTGTGATCTGACTTTCACCTGATTAAATTTCAAAATAGCATTGTAATTTTCTATTATTATCATAATAATTGTTTTCTTTTCAGTTGGTTTTCGTTGTTATTTATTAATTATTATTGTTGAAAAGTTTTGTTTTTGAAGTAAATATAATGATCAATTTAGTGAAAGTACCTAAAATTTTTCTCATGAATAAGAACCGGCTAAATGAACAGTAAGTTCTCCCTTACCTTAATAAATAAGAACAATAATAAGTACCTATGATTAGGTACAGAATGTTAGGTTAAGTATAAAGTTAAAATTAAATGCATGGAATGTGAATCAATTGACGTATTTTTAATTTTTAATTAATATATTTGAATTAGCGGTTATAAAAACTGCTTGAAAACAATTAGTATAAGTTGTAGACGTAAAGGTTATGTTATCATATTAAGTAGTTACAGCAGTGTACAAAGTGTTGTCGCATAACCGCATTTATTACAAAGGCGCTGGTTTTAAAATATAATTAGGAAACCGTTAATATGTCGACAATAAAAGATTTAAATTCACCAACCGAAATGAAACTGATTAACTCCACAGAAGAAGAAGATGATGGGAAAGTTCGGATGAAGAAGGAACTAGGTCTTCTTGAAGGTGTAGCGATAATTTTAGGAATTATTTTAGGCTCAGGTAAATAACAAGTAAATCTTATTAGTTTTAACTTCTTTATCAGTTTTTTTTTCCTGTAGGAATTTTTATTTCGCCGAAAGGTATAACTGAAGAAGTAGATGCACTAGGAACATCTTTGGCTGTTTGGGTTGTATGTGGCCTGTTATCGATGATAGGAGCCCTGTGCTATGCAGAATTGGGGACTTCAATACCAAAATCTGGAGGTGACTATGCCTACATATATGAAGCTTTTGGGAACCTACCAAGTTTTTTATACTTGTGGGCTGCTAATTTAATTTTTGTGTAAGTTTCTTGTTTATTATTAACTAGCTCATAAATATAAAAGAAAAGTTATGCATTTAAGCATAATAGGTAGTAATAATAATAAAAACTACTATGGTATGTATCCTTAGCAGAACTGATGATAGTTCATGAATAAATTAATCAAAAAATAATTGCAGCAACATTAAATTTTTAAAAGGTATATTTTAGTTTTACTTTTTACATACTACTATTATTATTTCTAAACGAAAATCAAATCAGACGTGATGAAATTTGTTTTTATAAACACATATTTATAGAAAAAATGCTTTATTTTATTCAGGCCTACAACAAATGCTATTATGGCTTTAACTTTTGCAAAATATGTAATCCAGCCATTCTTCCCTGATTGTGATATTCCTAAACACTCAGATACCCTTATAGCAGCATCAACTTTATGTAAGTTCTTTATTAATTGCTGTTTTTACTCAAACTAACTGAATAAATTATTCAGGCTTTCTTACATTCCTTAATGGATATAATGTCAAAGCAACTACAAGATTGCAAAATGTATTTATGTTTTGTAAAATTGGGGCCGTCGTGTTAGTGATCCTAGTAGGAATAACCTGGATGGGTATGGGACACCTCGAAAATTTTGCCAATCCTTTTGATGGTGGCACAACTAATCCGGGTAAACTTGCCAAAGCTTTTTATTCAGGGATATTTTCCTATTCAGGCTGGTAACGAATTAAATCAGAAAGTAGCTTTATTAAATTTTAATTATCCTTCTTTCTGTCTTTAGGAATTACCTCAATTTCATGACAGAAGAATTACAAAATCCATACGTGTAAGTAGATCGCTTTCTTATCGCGACGTATTTATTGATCGTTACTCATTAGTACACAGTTCATAATACCATTTGAGTTATCTTTAAAAATTAAAACAGCGTTTTATTACAACAATTGATAACGATAAATAATATCTTTCAGTTGAGTAAATAACTAGGATAAAATTAAAAAAATTTTTTTTTTAGTAAATAGGCTTGTTTTTTCTTTTTTAATAAATAGCAATTACAATATCAAATGAAAATATTATTGTATAATTTCATTGTTAATGTAATTTATGTTTCAGAAATCTTCCTAGAGCTATTTTCATATCAATTCCCTTAGTCACCCTTGTATATGTCTTGGCTAATATGTCTTATTTATCAGTCCTGACTCCTGATTTGATGAAAGCTTCTGATGCTATTGCAGTTGTAAGTGTCTTTTTTTTTAATATGTAGTATATATGTTACATTCAAGAAGTCACGAGTATTGTATAAACTTACGGAGATGAAAAATATATTTTAGACCTTTGGAAATAAGTTATTGGGAAAAGGTGCTTGGACAATACCTGTGTTGGTCGCCATATCGGCCTTTGGAGGACTTAGCGTTCATATTATGACATCCTCTCGGATGCTCTTTGTGGGAGCACGAAATGGACATTTCCCAGCTATGTTAGCTCACCTTAATTTAAAAACATTGTCCCCTGTGCCTTCTCTTTTATTCCTGGTGAGCTTTTGTATTTATTAATATTAATGCTTGTTACGGTGCTCAGCAGAGAAAACAATTCACAAAAATGTTTTAACAGAAATACTGAAAGAGTCGTTTCGACATAGAGTAATACAATTACTAATTAGAACTGAATGGATTATATTTACAGATAAGGCATTATTTACAAAAAGGCGAGAAAAAAACATGAAATCATAACAGAAATATATTAATTCTTCCCCCCTATCAGTTACTGTGAGCTCAAAACTGTTAGCACTATTGCTTCGAGTGGTCAAAATTCACTTTTGTTTTTTTACAATTTGTTTGATCACTTTTGTGTTAAAAATTGTTTGAAAAATTTAAAGGAATTGTTTCTAAATGTGTATGCAACACATCGTACACTTCAGCATAGGAAATTACTGATACTACGTAATATTACTTTGCCCTGTGCTGACAGCACTCATAATTTCTTTCATATATAATATTTAAATTTGAAACAACATTACAGTTAATTATACGTTTTTAGAACTTGCTGTCGTTACTGATGTTATGTACCAGCGACATACAAAGTCTAATAACGTATTGTACAATAGTGGAGTCATTTTTTGTGACGCTCTCCGTGTCGGGTCTTCTGTATCTTCGATGGAAGCAGCCCAATATGCAACGCCCCATTAAAATTCATCTTATCGTTCCAGTTACGTTCGTTATTATTTGTATATTCCTCTTAATTTTGCCGTGTGTGGAAGCGCCGTACGTGGTCGGTATTGGAACACTTATAACCCTTTCGGGAATACCGGCCTACTACGCAGGAGTATTTTGGAAAAACAAGCCAAAATGGTTCCGGGAGATGATGAGTATGTTATATTAAAGTAAAACTATGAACTCCTTGATAAAATATCATATTCTATAAAGTACCAAATATTTCATTCATATTAAAAATGTCTCACTTTCCCAGACCTACAAAATACTTTGTTTTTAAACTGTGATCATGTATTTATTTTTACAGAGACATTAACAGAGCTGTGCCAAAGAGTTTGCTTCTCATCGCACGAGGATTGACAAACTTCGGATTTTAATGATTATAAACGTTACCAGTCTTTAACAAGTATTTTATTATGAAACCCAAGTGCCTGTTTTTAAGTTGCAGCACTAAAATAATTGCTAATAGGGTAAGAATTTTTTAATTTATTTAATTCAAGTCAGTATTTTTTTTATTATTTTACTTGATCAATTGGGTATTAGAATAAATACAAAAATTCATTTCTTTATCCAGTTCTATTGCAATCAACAGTTAAGTAGTTAGATTTGAACTTGTTTCTTTGATAAGAAAATTTAATTTCAAAAATCAGGTTGTGCTTTAATGTTAAATAATGAACAAAACACCTATTTAATTACTTTCCTAAATTAATTAATATTATTTATTTCTTTTCTCAATTTTATCAAATAAATATGCTTCTTTTATTAATATATTTAGGAAAGTATGTATTTAATATAAAGCTTAAGATGGTTTTTGAATTAGTGTAAAAGGGACTTATTGCTTTGATAAAATAAAATTTTTGGGCCTAAAAAGGAATTATATAACAATTTTTTTGTCAATGTTATTTGGTTTTTTTTTTCTAAATAACAGTAAATCATCTAATTGTGTTCTATTATTTATGCCAACAATCCCTATATTAACAAATTAATGTTTGCATAATGATGTTAGTTTACAAAGATTGCAACACTACATTAAGAAGCAAAAACATTATTAACAGTTAAAATAACTAGATAATTCAATAGGAATGCTTTACTAATTCTATACAAGTGGTAGTATATTCCATATTTGGACACAATTATTAATGAGACATATCATCTGGATTAAACATTCCCTGCAAATGTTTTAATTTGTAAATTATGTTAAAAGTTTCTTATCAATAATTGTTACCTTGGCTCTTCTTAAAATTGAATCTTTGGAAGCATCATAAGGGTGATCTTTTGATGGTATTTCTAAAACAGCAGGAATTGGCTGAGTATGATTATCTATCACATGTCGAATCAACTCAGCAACATTCTGATTAATTAATATTATATCAATATCATCTCGCTTTAAAAATCTCTTAAAGCATTCCTCAATTTCACTGACTGCAGTATCTATAATTTACACACAAATATTAATTTAATTATTCAGTTCTCTTCTTAGTTTACATACTCTTATCAACTACCATGAAATTAGGATGACGATTCTTATTTATTTCACCTATACCGCCCAGTAGAAATCCAACACAAGTATCCTACAAAAAAATTACACATTTCACCAAAGTGTAAATGTAAATAGGTTTCAGATTTACCTCATCTCCAATTACAGAAATTAATTTTCCTTTTACTGCTGAGTGAAGNTTTATTATTAAATAATTAATAATTTTCTTACAATAGTCTCACGTTTTGCCAAAAAAACCTACATAAAAGCAATCAACTGACGATTGTGTGGTGTGTAATTAATCATATGATTTCAGTCCATTTTGTAACTAAAAAATGACGTTTCAGAAATAAGTCTATGGAACTGTGTTTATGCTCTATGACCGTTCCTAGCCTTAAAAGTGTACTTGCAAATTCGTAGTCTCTTATATTAATATTTAAATCAATGAAGGTAAACAATAATTCTAATAAGTGTATTAAACGAGAATAAAATAAATCATTTTTAGATGCAAAACAATCCAACAAAATCGCACATAACAGATGCAAAGGAAACATTCCGCATATTAATGGAATTGTCTCAGTTATTGTGCACTGGATTAGATCCAGAAACACTAACTATATGTATTAGATTATGTGAAGAGGGTATTAATCCAGAAGCACTTGCCACTATTGTAAGAGAACTTCAAAAGGAAGTAGCATATAACAACAAAGACAAAAATTGAACCTCTTATTTTTGTCATGATTATCGTGTGAACAGGTGTTTTTGTAGTTGTTCCTAAATTAAAACGCAGAACCTGACAAAGAGACATGAAAAAATTTATTGGCTAATATTTAACAATGATTTTATAATTCATCTTCTAGATGCCTTTTTATTCCATATTTTCCTGGATAAACTTTGCTCTCTATTGTGACACTTTCACACTTTTCCTGTTCTATTAAATAATCTTTTGCTGTCCAGGCCTGTGAACCATCTTTGTACATGAATATAGCACGATTATCATCCACTAGGTACCTATTGTAGCCATTTATTATTTAGTTTATATCCTTCATCCAATGTTCTGTTCTTACCTTTCAGCTTGAATATGATTATTCCATAAACTAGTTTGCCAAAGTTTTGTTAATTCTTCAGTTTCTTCCCTTTTTGGATTTCCCGATACACTAACAAAAGTCATTAGTGTTCTACCTTTTTTAGCTAGCTGCAAGAGCTTTTCTGGATCACTAGAACCAATTTTATTAAAATCTATTGGTTGCTGAGGTTTTAAATATTCCGGAAGTTCATCCTCCGGTAGTGGCTCTTCATCTTCCTATTTTGTTNTTTTGGCCTAAAAAGGAATTATATAACAATTTTTTTGTCAATGTTATTTGGTTTTTTTTTTCTAAATAACAGTAAATCATCTAATTGTGTTCTATTATTTATGCCAACAATCCCTATATTAACAAATTAATGTTTGCATAATGATGTTAGTTTACAAAGATTGCAACACTACATTAAGAAGCAAAAACATTATTAACAGTTAAAATAACTAGATAATTCAATAGGAATGCTTTACTAATTCTATACAAGTGGTAGTATATTCCATATTTGGACACAATTATTAATGAGACATATCATCTGGATTAAACATTCCCTGCAAATGTTTTAATTTGTAAATTATGTTAAAAGTTTCTTATCAATAATTGTTACCTTGGCTCTTCTTAAAATTGAATCTTTGGAAGCATCATAAGGGTGATCTTTTGATGGTATTTCTAAAACAGCAGGAATTGGCTGAGTATGATTATCTATCACATGTCGAATCAACTCAGCAACATTCTGATTAATTAATATTATATCAATATCATCTCGCTTTAAAAATCTCTTAAAGCATTCCTCAATTTCACTGACTGCAGTATCTATAATTTACACACAAATATTAATTTAATTATTCAGTTCTCTTCTTAGTTTACATACTCTTATCAACTACCATGAAATTAGGATGACGATTCTTATTTATTTCACCTATACCGCCCAGTAGAAATCCAACACAAGTATCCTACAAAAAAATTACACATTTCACCAAAGTGTAAATGTAAATAGGTTTCAGATTTACCTCATCTCCAATTACAGAAATTAATTTTCCTTTTACTGCTGAGTGAAGTGCCATTTTTTATTTATTTTA